ATTTACATATGACTATTAAATATTAGTTTGTTAATATTAAAATATCATTTCTAATAGATAAATGCAGAGGAGCTTTACAATATTTTTACTAGTAGTCAAACTAGATTTCCTGAAGCTTCATTAATTTGGTTGAAAGATCTTGCTGCATTCCTTAATATAAAAATACCTGTTGATAAAGAAGATGCAATCTTTTCTGGGAAATCTAAAGACTATCCTTTAAGTATAGTACCTAAGCCAATTTCTTCCATATTGGAAAAAGCAATTGATATGGCAGGCAAACAAACAGTACAACTTTTTTATGAAAATACTTTTACTGCAATGGCTGCTGATATGGTTAAAGGATCACCTGCTGTGGGTCACAAAATATTTTTACAACTTCTAGCGCGTATTAATTCTGAATTGACAATTGCTAATATTTCTAAATTGGTTCGTGTAAAAAATTCTTATCAAAATAGAAAAAATATTGGTCTTTCTTTATTATGGGCAATCTCACAAGCTGGTAGAAAAAATCTGACTGTGGGTTTGAAAGTGTGGCATGAAGTGATGTCTCCTATGTTAGAAACGAAGAGTTACTGTAATTATGTAGCACAAATTTTGAATGATCTTGTATTTGGACATGAAATGTGTTATGATCTTAAACCAGAACTTTATCTTGACATTATAGAGGATACATGTTCTGGAAAATATAATATTTCTGCTTCTGTAAACAGAGAAATTAATAACAGCCTTGAAAAACTAAGAGTTGGTGTTCAAGTACTATATTAATATAAAATATCATTTTATGATTAAATATAATGTTTCTTTATTTTTTTTAGTTGATATTGTTTAAAAATAAAAATATAAATTATGCGAAGTTATTTGAAATGTTAATTATAAAAGTTGTGCAAAAGGTACATGTAAACTATAGGGATGAATTAATCAAAGCACTTGTGACTTGTTTAGCTACAGATCCACTTTGTTTCTCTGTCTGGAAATCCGTTTATGCTAAAAATTTATATCAATCCCATTTAATTTTAACATATATCGGTAAGATTATACTAAATTAACTTTATAGATTGATGAATTTATTAAATTTAATTTCATTTAATTTTTTTTTAGACATTAAATACCATGTTTTACACACAACATTGGAAACCAGATGTTTGAAAGAAACATGTATAATATTTCAGACAATTAATGAAAAGTGGAAAAAGGGCAAAGATGAAAGTCTTGCTAATAATTGCACTAAAACATGCAAGGTAAATTTAAATTTATGTTAATATATGCATCAAATAGGAACATATATTTAATATTTATATAAAAATAATACTTTATTACTAAAATTAAAATGGTATAAAAAATGAATAATTATTTGTATATGCTAGAATATTTTGAAATAACCCGCGTAACATTTGCTTCTTGTATTCTACGTCTCATATATGCGCAATCATGTTGTATCAGAACACTACGTGTAAGTCATACGTAACTAACGTATAAGTCGTGTTTTGGTTAATTGCATTTTGCACGTAAAAGAACGTTTAAACATCAGTACAATTTCCTAGCAATAAATTGTGAATTTTTCATTTGGATTTACATTTAAAGAATCGTGAGTGTGATATTTAAATGATTTTGAGAAACTTTAATTTTAAATATAGTTTAGGTTAATATAGTTTAGGTTAAATATAGTTTAGGTTAGGTACGTTTGTTTTTTCGGAAGGAGATTATCGATCGCACATTGTCCCTTCGGCATTGCTACTGACGACATTAACGTCATTCATTGTGATACTTTTTTTTTTGTATAAAGATTAAAGACAATATTTTAAGACAAATAGTTTAGAGAACATTTCCATCAACTCCGTGAGTAAAAAGTTCGTATTCAAAAATGAAATTCATTTATTTACATCTTTAATGAGATTATTTTTTGATATTGACCTTTAGACGTAATAAGAATATATTATCAATGTTTTAAACTGTAAATAAGTTAAAATGTGATATAGTGTTTTATTAATTCTTTATTTACAGGCGTTATTATTAAAAATGACAGTTTCTGCTAATAAGAAATTTCCTTGGAAAAAGGGAATTATTTTGTTATTACTTCTTATTAGTACCATTTTTGCTTATGATATGTATAAACATGATGATTTTAAAGGTAATATACACACACATATTACACAAAACCATATATAAAAAATTTATATTTATAATATAATTTTTTAGTAAATAAGTTTTTGAAAAGAACTGGGTTAGTTGCTTATGGACAACAATCATGGATTATAATGCAAGAATATTCTTCTAAAACACTTGATTTCATAGAAGCTACTTCACCAGAATATTATAAAATAACTGTAGAAACATGTAAACCTTATATTAAATTAGCAGGGGATATTTATCTTTTGATGAAACATATTTCTTTTAAAATTTATGATAATATTGCAGAATATATTGAAAAAAATGGTCCTTTGGTTATACAAACAGTAAGTCAATAATTTTAATGCATAAATTATATTTAGATATTGTATGAAATTTACTTTATAGATAGAGCATTATGTCCCAGGAATGTTGGATGAAATTAAATTACGAAGTAATCAAAGTTTAGAACTTTTAAAAGTATATTCAAATTTATTAGTGGAAATGTTGACTGAACGTTCAACTGCAACACTTCAATGGCTAGAACATAATGTTTTTGTGTAAGTATAAAAAGAAGATTTTTGAAATATGAAAATTTAAACTTTATAATTTTATCTTTTTAGTGGAAAATTAAGTCCAGAAAATTTACAAAATTATGCCTCAAAAGCTATTGACACCACACAGACATTAGCAAGTCAGACTTATGATTGGGTTTATGAAAAGGTGCAAACACTCTCTAAAGTTCCATGAATGAAATTCATCAAATTTTTATGTACTAACTTTTTTCGATGATCAAAAAAAAATCTCTTCATACCTCTGCATTTAGTTCTATAATTCCAAAGTTGATATACATTTCCAAATATATTGTGACAGCCATTTTACCTGTGATATTTGAAAAATGTATCATATTTCAATTATGATATTTTAAAGCTCCACAAATTTAATGAAAATATCTTTTTTTTTGTTATTTTGTTTCATTATTTCGAAATAATTATCAAAGTAATATATAGACTACATTATGTAGTGTCAAACTTAAAACCTCTTATTTGTATATTCATTAATATATTTTCATGTTAATACGGTGTTGAATGGTAATATAACAAGTTGATTTATAAACCAGACAATGTATTAAATAAAGTTACTTTTTGGTATCTTCTTTTTTACAAAAATAAAGGAAATATAGAGTATGATTAATTTTATAATACATGTAGAGTATTAACATAATGTCACTGGATACAGCAATAAGAGTAATAATATTTATAGGACATATAGAATAATGATAAATATAGGCATAGTAATATAATTATTATTATAATTATAATTATAATAGCGCTAATAGTGCGATTTTAATGGTGGTGATTATAGTGACAATGATAATTTTAATAATATCAAAAAAAGTAAAGAAAAAGAAAAAAAGAAAAATATTGAAATTTTACATAATAAGAGATCAGCGAAGTGTGACACTCATCGCATTCATAGAACTATGTACGTAAAAATGAGTCTTTTTGTTTCCATTCTTTTCAGAAATGAATGTAGTAGAAATTATGTTTTTTTTAAATATAGTTTCACAGCTCCTTTCTTCCCTGATTATATGTACGAGCGTGCAATGCTAAAACGCACACTGATTATGAAGTTAATATTTTAGTTTGAATTGTTGTGTTAGAGCTCATGAGGAAAAAAGACTTTCATTGTATTTTTATATATTTGATTGCATAAATATTCTTCCTCTTCATCTCTAATTCGTGCAAGTACTTCCAAAATTTGGCTGTAAAAAGTAATCAATATATATTAAATCTAAGTTTAACAAAATACGTAATACAAATGTGATTTAATCAGTACAAAATTTAATTAAAAAATTGATCAATATTTACACTATGGTACATGGTTCGTTTCTTCCTTTGACCATTTTATCAGGTTGCCACTTTTCCTTTTTAATAGATGGAAAGTTGGTAATAACATCTTTTGCAGAAGCATGCATAGGCCTTATTTCACACCATGGACAATCAGTTTCTATCATTAACTTATCTGATGGTATAGTTGTAACAGCAAAAAGATTTTCTTCTGTTTTTAGAGAACTATAAACAAAATTATGTTAATTATTTGATCTAGAATAAATATATTACTTAACATACCATCCATTAATACCAATGTATAATCCCATTTGTAAAATAGAATTAGCTTCTTCTGGATTGCCATCAAAAGAGTGTACAACACCAGCTGTTAACGTATCTTTATGTTTTCTTAAAATTCTTACAAAATCTTCACTAGCGTTACGACAATGTAGAAACATAGGTAATTTTAAAGTAGAACATAAAGATAATTGCATTTCAAAATACTTTTTCTGGATATCTTTGGAACAAAATTGCAACCTATCATAGTCTAGTCCCATTTCGCCAATAGCAACAATTTTATCTTTATTGTCTGCAGCCAGATCTGATAATGATTTAAGATACGCTTCAGGATCACCACTTTCTTCAAATTCATTACAACGTGTTGGATGACAACCAACTGTAGAAAACAGTCGTTCTGAAATATACATAATAATCAATATATGAATGGATTCAAGAAAACAAAAAAAAATAATAATATAATATGTACCTAGATATTTCCATTGACATGCATTTTGTTGTCGTAGTTAGAGAATAGAATGACAGCAACCATTGCATCTCTCTTTCACTGGTTTCTTCATATGCAATGATTGTATTTCAGTCTAATAATAAGAAATAAACAGTAGCTGTACATTACAACAATAAGTCTTTACCCTCACAGTTGAAAGCCTGTAAGGTGCATAAAATGTTAATTGTACCAAAATCATTTGTACTTGTTTCTAAAACATCAATATCTCTACATAAAAAATAGAATTTGAAAATTATGTAGCTGCCCTAGTGATAGAGAGACGCGACAGTAGACTAAGTTATATTTAATTAATGTTATAGTTTTATGATTTATACAAAAGCATCTCACCATCTGTTCGTGCTATTTCGAGAGCCTTTTTACTTTCTTCTATATTACCGGCAGTGATTATAATTTTTGAAATATTATTATTCCAACTTCGTTCTAAAACTTTATCCAAATCTGGTAGGTGTTTCTGTGATCCATGATAAATTCCTTGATACATAGGATCTGTCAAATTGGCCCCGATGTCTATATTGAAATTACGATGGAATATATTAGTTTTTAAAGTATAACCTTTTTGTAGATATGTCAAAAGAAACACAAAGATACATTATAGTTTGTACAAAAGCATCGATTATTAAAGTATTAATATGATTATTAAACGAAGAACTTAGTTACCTATAAATTTTCTTAAATTACTCATTCTAATACCGAGCATTCAACCTATCAATGAAATGACAGTTTTCTCAAACACTGATACTGCTTGAAAGGTTAGCAGGTGTCTTATTTAACCGGCGTTGTGTACTGACATATGAGTTAGTAGATATTTGACGTTCCATGGAAATAAAAATTATACTTTTTTTGTCATTTATTGCATGTAACAGATTTAAATATAATTATATTTTATAAAAATTAATGTAAGCTGTACATTATATTATTTTCTATTCTGCATATTAAGTACAATCATACATACAATTTACATTTAGAGCCCTATATATATAAAGATTCTCTACACATCATCATATTACAATTAAATGAACATTAAGTACAACATCTATAGTTTATAACATATATTTATTACAATCTTTTTTTTCGTTACAAATCTTATTTTATTAAAAGGAAAAAGGTTTTTCAATTTATTATTTGAAGATTATTCTAATTTATTTTTTACATTATTATTATTGAGTCTCTTGTTCTCAAATATTTTTTTATCAGAAAATTTTATTACTGTAGTGATTTTATGATAGAATTTATTTTCTCAACACATTCTTCTTTCTTTTTTGTAATAGCTGCTTCTGCTTCTACAAATTGTTGACGTCCTATCTTGCCTGGTACTAGTTTATCTACATACAATGCTTGTTGTTGATTATAAAGTTCTTTTAAAGTTCTATCATATTTCTGTAATTCTTGAATACGATCATGTACATCTCCAGATTCTCCTTTTAAACGTTGTGCAATTTCAGCAATAGAACTGGTTGCACTCTTATACTCTTGATTAATACCTTTCACCACAAATAAGAATGTATTGGCATCTTTATTTGCTTTAAGATATGCTAATTGATCATCTAGCTCATTGTAAGAAGTTACTCTACGATCTTGTGCAGCTAAAATCTTTTCACACTGCCCAGCAATTCTTAATTTACTTTCTGAAATTTCATCTTTATCAATTGAAAAGTCAAGTCTTACATAAGTAATTACTAACAAAAACAGTAAATATAAAGCTGCAGCTACAAGCAATGGTTCTTGTAACATCAATATGCGTGGAAATGTGTATTTCAGCTTAAAATTCTGGATATGATTTTCAATTAAATTCTTTTTAGTAATGGAAATTACAGGACGACCAGTAGTATCCAAGTATGTGTAATGAAGGGAATCTGGCAAACGTGTTGCAGAATATGGAAGGCTTAGTTCAATATTTTTAGAACCTTCTGGTAAAATTATCTTCACAACTAATTCATCTACAACCATATCATCGAAAACATGATCCAATAATCTCATTTCTAGAGTATATAAATCTCCAGAATGAAACAAATACTCATAGCTAGGTACATTATATCCAACTATATATTTAGTTTTCCAACCACCAAACAATGGGAATCTTGGACGAAGATTTAATTCTACTGAATCTTTCTTGATACGAGTATGTGACGTTGAAATATTACCAATTTCATCTCTATAATAAATATCAGAGGCAGCTGCAGGTAAAATAGTATCAAAGCTTTGAATGCTTGCTTCCCATGATTTTGGTTCTCTAGCAAACTCATAGCGTGAAAATGAGCCTTTTAATAATGCTCCAGTATGTAATAAATCAATATGTTCTTCTACTGCTATGTTACCCCAATGTGATATTTCAATATTTCTTTCAAGTCTGGTGACAGTGAGGAATTTATTATTGTTTTCAAAGTGTATATTTAATTCTTCATAAGAAAACGGAGGAAGTTTTTCATATGGACCATATGTGATAAATGAATCACTTTGTGAAACAGGTTTAAATTTCGTATAGGTTTCAATATTACGTGATGGTAAAGATACAGTGGTTGTTTGTTTCGTTATAGTATATGGTGCATAAAGATAAATGTTACCTATATATTTCACTAATTGCTTTTCTTTCTGTGTGATCTCCTTGGGATGAGGCATAAGCTCATGGGTTAATATCCATTCAATTTCAACAGACATAGTTCTCCCAGGAGATAGTGGGTCTTTTAATTCAATTTCATAAAAAGTTTCATCTGGATAAACATTTACTTTTATCTCAGTTAATTTTAATTCAACTCGTACAGGTTCTCTATAAGCTGCTATGTAGCTAAGACTATTTTTTTGTTCAGGTTCCAATGAAAAAAGGAAATTACTTATATGCCGATCTTTACTTCCATTTTCTAATATAAGTCTAGTTGTAATTTTTGTTAATTGAGATTGTAAATCGATATGTTTTTCCACATTTTTAAAATTTAAGTCAGGATCGATAATGTTGGCGGCAGCAAATGATTGGACATATACTCCGATAAGTAACGCAACATTACATAGTAATACAATTAAATTACGATTAATCATACTTTTTCCTTAAAAATTTTTTTCAGTTCACTATCAAATATCACTTTCAACAACCGGCAAGCGGATTGCAAATTGGTATGATCACAGACGTGGCATTTATCTAAGACCACATATTATATAGATAAGAAACTCATATATCAAAACATTCGAACCTATATATTTTCTAGATTCTTTATAAATGTAATTCAAGTATATATAAAATTAAGATATAATCTTTTAAAAATATTGACGTTGGTTTTTCATTCCTGCTTTAGAAAAAAAAAGAAAAAATGAAATATAAGAAGTCATATTATGAATACAATTTACAAGTTTATGTCATATGGTGAATCTAACCTTTTAAATTGAAGTTATGTTACAAGCATAAATATATTGTATAAAAGAAAAAATGATTTCATCTCAAATTATGTTTAATTTAAGAAAATCTCTATGCATCCAGTAAGTAATTTGTAACATATGAATTTAACTAAATACGTATAAATAATAATCCGAAATATTTTTATTGAATAGGATAGTATCTTATTATACAAACCTAATATATGAATTACATTCGAAAAAATTGTATAACTATCAAACAACATTTTATCGTTGTTATGCAAGGAAGTCAAAAATTAATGAACAATCGAATACATTTTGCAATGTAAGTAATTCATCAGTTAATGTCATTTTCATATTTTTTTTTTTTTAGAAGTTGAATATTGAGTGTCAACGAAAATAAAGTTAGAAAGATACATAATTTTACATTATAATAAATGTTAAATATAAATTATACATAATAATGAAGTATGTAATATATACGTAGTATGTAACATGTAATGCTTAATGTAATATAATACAGAAGTATGTACTATAATATAGTATGTAAATAATGTATAAATAAAATATAAATGTATTAATTACAAAATTATTTTTATAGGATTACGAAGAACAAACTGCAAATATATTAAATTCTAATAGAATGTTAAGTGAGTATGTCAATTTAATTTAATATATTGTATATATATTGTTTCATTAATGTTTTTGTGTTAAATTTTAGAATTTAAAAAAGTACATCCACAGCCTAAATATGATCTTGACAGGATTTATGATGCTGTAAAGAATGAACTTGACAAACTATGCATATCATATGTATATACAGAAATAAAAACATTTACTATTAAATACAAATGCATCATCAATGTCACATGGCCTTATGAAGCATCTTTCTGCGGTATTGCATCTAACAAAAAGATGGCTGCACATAATGCGGCATTAATATGCTTAGATTGGTTATATCAAAATAAGAAAATTAATGATTTAAAACCTATATTTTATGATTATAAAAGTCAGCATAATATTTTGAAATCTCAACAGTTTGTCAAAATTAATCTTACATCAGAATCTAAGAATAAAATACAATCTTTGATTAATGTTTTTAATGACGTAAGATTTATAAATAACAGAAATATCCGCCTAATATCTATAAATATTTTAATTTCTTTATTATGATTATATATAGGAAATAAAAACTATAATAACAATACCATGCATTACTGAAATTGATGAAAACAATTTAAAAGAAGAAGTAAAAGATCTTTCATCAAGTGAAAATAGTAACCAATTAATGCAGAATCTACAAAAAAGAAATAATATAAAAATGAAGATAGACTTGCCTATTATGAACTATAAGTATGTATATATACTTACACATGATAAACAAATTATTTATTACTTATTACTTAAATATTTTTTTCAGAGAAGAAATTCTTAATAGTTTACAAAATAATCAAGTTTTAGTAATTAAAGGAGATACTGGTTGTGGCAAAAGTACTCAAGTTCCACAGTTTATACTAGATGCTTATATAGAACGAAATAAAAGACATGAATGCAATATAATTGTATCAGAACCTCGTAAAATATCAACTATTTCTTTAGCTGAACGTGTTGCATATGAGAGAAGTGAAAAGATAGGTAATACAGTGGGCTATCATGTACGTTTTTATAATAAAGTGCCAAAAAATCATGGTTCAATTTTATTCTGCACAACTGGTATGCTATTGCGTAAATTAGAGTACGATTCTACTTTAGAAAAAGTGTCGCATATAATTATAGATGAAGCTCATGAAAGAAGTCTACATACAGACTTATTATTGAAGTTATGTAAAGATCTGCTGGAACATAAATCACATATAAAACTTATAATCATGTCTGCAAGTATAAATGCAGAAATATTCCAGGAATACTTTTCCTCTGCAACTATTAATGTCCCTGGAAAGTTACATCATGTAAAAATGCATTTTGTAGACGATATTGATTTCTTAAACAATAATTTATCAAATTGGGATACTCTCATGACGAAAGAAATTCCTTTTAATGAAATAGTACGTCTAATACAATGGATTATTAATAATAAACCACCAGGAGCAATTTTATGTTTTCTTCCGGGCTGGAGAGAAATTAAACTTTTACATGACATGCTTCAAAATGAAATGGATGATTTATTGATATTACCACTTCATTCTAAATTACCAAATCATGTACAACAGAAAGCTTTTAAACCTGCTCCTGCGAATATGACAAAGATTGTTTTAGCTACAGATGTAGCTGAAACTGGTATTACCATTCCAGATATAAGTTATGTTATAGATACTGCAATTAAAAGAGAAATGTTATGGAATGAAAAAAAATCTTTATTTAGTTTATGTTTTTGTCCAATATCACAAGCTAACATTTGTCAAAGGTATTTTGTAGAAGTGTTACGATTTTATTTTCAAAAGAAGAAAACATTAAAACATTTTATTAATTTAGGAAAGGAAGAGCTGGGCGCCTGAAGCCTGGTGAAAGTTATCACTTAATTACTCGAGAAAAATACAATAAATTAGACTTGTATCCGAAACCAGAAATATTAAGAATTCCATTGGATGAAGCAATTATTATTAGTAAAACAACATCTCGTCAGAAAGCCTGTGATTTCCTTAATGATCTGATTGAGTCACCTAGTGCTATTTCAATAATTTCAGCTGTAAATAGTTTGAAAAATCTTGGCATTCTCGATGAGGATGAAAATCTTACAAGTTTAGGAAAACGTGTTTCATATATTTCATTAAATCCGAAAATAAGTAAAGCAGTAATATTATCTTGCATTTTGCAGTACGTATAAAAAAGAATTCTTATTTTTCTATATATTTTATACTACATATTTATATTTCTATTTTTTATGATTCTGTAATTCTAGATTGCATATTCTTTCCACTAATTTAATATTTCTAAAAAGTTTTATTGCTTATTGTATATTTTATTTTTTTAGGTGTTTAAATCCTGTATTAACGATAGCCACGATATTTGGTAGTGCTTCTAATTATGATGTTTCATTAAACGAAAACTCACATCCATTTGTGATGTTAAGAAAACAAAAGTTGAAATATCATAAAACAAGTGATCATATTGCTGTTTCAGAATATTTTAGTTACATGGAATCCAATAATGATAATTGTTTTCAGACTATTGAAAGTACATACTATCAAATGCAAAGTAAGTATTATTATATTTAACGGTAGATGATGTTTAATATTAACAACAATTATTATTTATTCGTAGAATTTTTTATGCTACATATGGATGAACTCATAAACAGTGGAGTATTTTCAGAGACATCTAATTCTGACTATTTGAATGCATATTCCCAAAATAAAGAATTAATTCGAGCGATTTTATTCGCTGCTACGAATCATTTAATAAAAAAAAATCATTATGGATATAAAAGAGGAGTTTTTACAAAGAGAGCAGACATATTAACTACTGAGTTAATATATTTTTCAAAAAATATATATGATTATACAACAAAGAGTTAAAATTTACATAATTCTTGTTTTTTTTTTAGGACAAACAACATTGTCGAAATTAAAAATGAGAGTGTAAATTACAAGAGAAAAACATGGCCAAGCGATATATTAATTTACATCAACAAGATAGAGTTTGTTAACAGACATACTTCTATGATTCTTGATACCAGTATGATATCGCCATTATCAGTTCTGTTATTTAGTCAAACTGATGTTCAGTGTCAAAAAGTATGTTTTTGAATATATGTATATAATTTATATAATATTAAACATTATTTTTCTTGCAGGTACAAGACAATGCTTCCACTGAAGAAGAACAAATTTGTATTAGCATAAATAATATAAAAAATTTACATTTGTTATGTAAACCAGAGTTCGTATTTGTATTTTTATCTTTTTTACACGATTAATTTACACGTTTATTTTACATATTGTTTTTTTTTCAGAATCGCGGATGTACTATTAAAATTTCGGAGTATATTATGGAATGTTGTATATTTTATACTTAGATATGAAGGTAAAGATGATTATGAAGATAAATTACATTTAATTCGACCATTTAGAAAGGTCCTAATGGATTTAGTTTCGGAATTGTTGACGGAATCGTCACGACATATTGACGATAATATTGAAAATGATATTGAAAATGATATTGAAAGTGATGTTGAAAATGATGTTAAAAATTAGAAAAATTTTAATTATTTAAATTGTTTTATAATATTATATGATAGAATCTTTAATTTTCATTTTGTTAATATATATAAAAAACCTGTACGTATAAATAAATAAATTTTGTATAAATATAAATATATAATAAATATATATAAATACATATGATTGTACAAATACATAATATCGATATATGTATATGATGTATTGATGATATCAGTGATTGTATGCGAGGTCTATTCATGTATGTTTGTGACCTCGTTTGTGACCTCGTCTGCCTGTAGCAATATTTATTTAAGTAGATATGGTAGGATGTAACAAGAAAATGGCCAGGTGATCCCGAAAACATGGTGGGACATGAAAAAGCATTGGATGGTCCAGTCTATGCTAGTTAGTCAATGATGATATATAATTTTGATATTTATTTCAGTTTTATTTATTTATTACCCAGTATAAATTTTCAGAAGATACTATTGTATTTTTTTGTATTTGTGTTCTGTGTTATCTTCGTTATATAATTATATAATTATTCAATAGAATCTGATACCTAGTTTTTTAGCATCTTAATACTTACTCATTTCACTAAAGTCCTAGAACCCTGCCAACACCATGTTCCCAAATTCATGGGAGAGAATATAAAGAATTTGATTCTCAATCCCATTAGCCATCTTATAAATATTTATAATTTCACAGTCAATATAGAATACTTTTATGAATTTACATATATTAATTTTATGGTCTATTGATTGTCAATTTGTCTATATATATTTTCCTGTAGTATCAATTACATATAGTATCAATTAAATTGATTACATATATTTGTGCTGAAAATTATTTTTTTACTACACACAGCTTTTTTTATGGAAAATTTTTTAGCTGTATCAGAGGTAGTTATTGAAAACTTTCCATGTAATCAATTAAGTCGTATGATTTCTGTATACGTTTATATTATCTATAAATAAAATTTTCCACATATATATATATATATATGTTTATAATAATATAATATAAAATATATTAGCACTGCTATCTTGTAGCATTGTAAACATTCAATATATTAAAATCTATTTTATGTACATTTGGCAGGTACATTGAAGCGTGCGCTTCTGATATGAAAAAGACGATTCTATTACGAGAAGCGAGGCGCAAGAACTCTTATGAAAATTTTTAAACTCTAAGATATAGTAATCATTATTGTTTTATCTCTTGTCCTCACGTACAAATATATATAGAACTATAATGAAATTAATAAAATAAAGAAAGAATATATTAGAATATATCATGCTATAAATATAAAGTAACTTACACATATAAGTAAAAAATATAAATCTGTTTCGAATAACAAATATAGTTAACTTGATGATCTTATCTTGATATCTTGTTACATGCCATTATTGAATAAAGCGTAATATTTTGCAACAATAAAGTCAACAATGAACATTAAATTAGAATCAAACAAAATTTAAAACATCATATTAATAACACTGATATTAAATTTAAGATTAGACAACTACATCGTAATATGAAAACAAAGCAATTTTTATGTTGCTTATTTCAATTTCCTATTTATGTGTATTATAATAAATATTTTATGTCATTTAATGTAAAAATTTTCTTTTCGTTTCATTACGAAATTATCATCATATCGACTAGCAATTATAAATTGTAATATTACAGTATTCTAGTAAGAATATAAATAATCTATATAATTAACTATCTATTACATTTTCGTCGAATAATATTGCACTTCCGGCCGTTTTACATACTATTAAATTATATTACCATGGCAATCTTTGCATATCTCGTCGGCCGTATATCTTTTTTTGTTATAAACTAATTACATAAATATGATATACGGAATACGATTAAATGAATCTTTCCTTAAACTTTGTAATTCTTTAACATATGATATAAGTAAATTGAAAGCTAGGAAATTAGTAAATGCAAAGTAGATTACTTTTACTTGAGCTTCACTCAAAGTTATACATTTACCCGTTTGGCGAACTTTTAGATGCGTGTATCACGTTTAATTAATTAAATGAAAAAAAAAAAA